AACGTGACACGGAAATCTATGAACAGTTTGATTAAATTGGTCACGATGTACATGACAACCGAGATGTACAAGCATTGCAAAGCAGTCAGTCTACATTTGTTCACTCCTGAGGTAAAGGTGCATGTACCGAGTTCCAATAGTTGACTGGCTCAATGAAAAGGGCGAGGCGGTATAAATGAATGTCCATTTCAACGTGGCGATTTTTACGCGATCATCATGCTTTTTTTTCCTGAAGGCTCGTCTCAATATCAAGATACAAGGGATTCACGAGGGGTCCTTCATGAACTTCGAATGGTGTCAAGATATCTATTATTTAAGATCGTACGTGTAAAAAACTTCAAGATCATTGATAATAGCACATTGTTTTTTTTGCGGGAGCAGCAAAGGTCAATTTGCTTGACCGAAATCCTCTTCATGCGTGGCACTAACGAAGAGCTGATTCATCATTACAGTCGACATACAAATGTGTGAAGCTTAGTTTGGCTGCATCGACGTTATTTACGCACTGCGTCAATATAGGTAACGTATAATCACATAGCGAGATGAAAAATCTGATTGTAGATTATAGGGAGCTTTCATATCTTAAACCGATTGTTGCGATTAGCTTATAAAGCGTCGACGGAGTAGATTTACATAAGTTGCCATTACCTAGCTACTGCGCACACAATGGAATATTGCAGCAAAAGTCGACCCCGTATAGTACTGAATGTAAAGGCGTCATACGTATTGAGAACAGATATTACACTATAAACGGATAACATGATGCTGCACATCCAATGTGTATCGTTGATGTGAAGTGATCATGACAGCTGTGTACTCCATGTCCGTAACCGGATTCCTACACTGCTCGATGTATCAAGAATTCGTGCACGATTCCTGCCCTTATCGATGACACCCACGTGCGTTTAGGTCACGCGGATATGTACATGTCAAGGAAGCTCGTTGCGAAAAGTTAGATAGCTCTCCATCGCTGTAAATGTATTTGGTACATTTCAGGATTAAAAGCATACCGCAGTCAATAGATATATAAATAAAGCCATTGGGCAATGTAGAACCCGATGGAGTCAGCAATGAAAATATCGCTGAAGGTGTTGGTGGAAGTTTCTTCATCTCTTGAGATAATCGGTAGCTATTTATGCCTAGCTTGCTGTACAAAATGCGATACAACACCTGATCTGTTATCGATGGTATAGCTCGTAATAAACTCTCCACACAGCTGCTGCTAGTCTCGGCCGTACACTAGAAACCATTTTGTATAATCTATGACAAAGGCGTCTATTGGCAGATAGATAAAGAAACGTACAGTGGAAGCACAACACCACACCACTATCCGTTACCGGGCATATTGGTCCAACATGCCATCATCTTGCTTAATTATACTCATGTCGAAGGTGGTCGTCCATTGAGTCGCTACAGGAATGAAATTCGATTAACTAGCTCGATCATCTGCTTCGACTGACCTGACGCATTTAGTACCAGGTCTAGACATGGCTATGTACCGAGACGCTGCCCATTTATCCAATCAAATTGTGCGAGATGTAACAAGAATTTTGTTGGCAAAATTAAATGCAGGTGAATCAGCCACACCAATTACAACAGACAAATGCGTTGAGCCAGATTCAAGGAAGCTATATTGTGTTGTCTCTTAGAACCCACTCTAAAAATATTAGCGACCCCGTAAAATCACGCCGAAGTAATTTGATCGGCCTAGGATAAAGCTGCTGGTCGTGTAGAACAGCAATCGTCTGTATTTCATCATGCGTGGCATATTGTTTTCTACTCACCGATATTGAAATCCATAGGTTGCAAGAAGTTATCCGCACTGAAGCTTATTGATGATCATTGCTGAATTGATGCGCGCAGGCGAAGGCAAAATTTGAAGTAAATATATTTATGGCCCTGATTTCGCTAACTTGCTGCGCTACACCTTAGCTACTCATTTCATATACTAGACAAACTATGTCAGTCCCACTGATTTATCCAGACCAATGAAAACCCTTCGATCTTCTCAAGATCTTCTAGAAGGTTTAGGAAGCTTTCCTTCTGACGTCACCCGATGACGTCAGGCTGTGCTTCTTCTCAGCCAGTCCTTCTCGATTCTTCGAAACATATCCATAAACATAAATAGCAGTAGACGGTGCTATCTTAACAATCATACATATCACTCGCTGCATTCCCAACTAGTCGCGTGAGATTTTCGCAGATTTGAACGCCGATCATGCTGAATATACGTTACGGTTGCTGATCTGGCATAAATTTAGTTATACCTATTTTTTACGAAGTCAGCTCGATTTCACGAATGTTCATTTGACATCAATGTAGCATATCCTGTTGTTATTTTGCGATATATCGAGGTCTTATTTAAAAGCTGTTTACATAATGATTCAGCATGGCGGCAAAATAGGACACGCATTTGTTTGCAAGCGCTCGAAAGTTCGAACAGTATTAAAAGCTGGTAACATATGCTGTCAGACGACTCGAGAAGCCTCTATCAAGGCTGGATTTTGACATATCCACTACGAAGAACGTTTTAATGGTCGAAAACGGACTAACAAACCGGTTATTGGTGGACGGATGCGTTCCTATACATTAGGTTCAATGCACAGATAATGCGAATGCAATTTATGTGGAGAGCAGAATAAAACAGCACACATTCTTGCGACACTCGGTGACGCAACTTTCTGTCGGATACGACGTACACAAGAGCTGCCTCAAGGTCATATCGCGATAAGATAAGCACATTCAAATCGACATGATGCAATGACTATTCGGCTAAAGGTAGTTAAAGTTGTTAAGAGTACCAAACTTTTGGTCCAAGACCGTCATTCTTATAAGTTCTGTCGGCATGACAAAGCGGACCAAATCCTATCTAGACTTTATCGAGCATCTACGCTACATGTATAATGGTATCGACCATAATGTTCTACTTGACCAGCATTTATAGCCAATTCCGAAATAACAAAGTAAGTTGCTGGAGAGTTGTAATTCGAGTACTTCAACATTAAAGGGAAAAATCGATGTAGCACAGTACAACATGAGATAATAGAAATCCTTTGCAAATTCTAATGAGTTTGATCCCAAATATAGTTTTTACTCTGCATATCTTTTATCGACTTTGCATGATGGTCGTCGGAATATTGGCGGTGACCATGTTGCTTGCAAGTATAAAATTTCCTGGCCACCGATTTCCACCTAACTAAAAGGCACTTCGACTACTAACTAATAAGACCTTTGCAGGTTCAGCAGATTTCGTATTGACCCGCTGTTGGTCCGCAATAACAACTGCTTCAACTATCGACTATATTTATCGATTTCAATTTTGACTTCTGTCCGCGTTTGTCATTATCACCACACACCAACAAATTACTTACGTTTTCAAGTGGGTCTTTAGATATCAAAACCTATGCTGCTAATGAAGAAGGCTTCATTCAAGGCTTAAGTAGATAAAATATGATAGATTGATCCTGTTTTTGTGTACCATTATAACAAATTTGCTTGTATGACACACGTCGCTATTACATATAGACACATACTGAATGTCGCTATCCGCTCCTTTCTTGTACTCGAGTTCGGCGACGACCGTGCTACATCCATGGACGGCCAGTACAATGTTTCATTCTCTCTCGCAGATTTATCCTCTTGTGATAAATCACACACCGCAAATAGTACACAACTTTGTCGTCAGCATCAATTACGGCGTTCGATACGGTTTTTACCCGCCAATCTCCCGGACCTCACGCAAGGTACGTACATGCTATCATTTGGTAGTATCAAATACTGTTGATGGGGATTTTGCTTATATAATCAAGCAAAAACATCCACCCTTCGCAGGTGACATGAGCGGGTAAGGCCAATCAGGTGTCACTGCGAAGGCCTAAAGGCCTGTTCGCTGGCGCTCCGTTTTCTGTTGCAACTCTCAGTTCTGATGATACATCCTTCCCCCTAGTAACTTACTTGCGATAGGTGTACCGCCGAAAACTGCAGCAATCATCTTGGACAAGAAATCGATGGACAGACTCTTCCCTCTCAATGCTACAGGCATGTCGTCAATTGTTGAGTAAACAGGTAGCGAATCGTGAGTGTCAATAGGCTGATTCAAAAACTGTCTCATGGTGTGTCACTTTAAACTTCCAAGCGTCGTTGCGAATGATAATCGACACTCTACTAAAACAATGCCTTGAGTCGAAGTGCCGTTGATACACCGCATGAAGCAATTGACAAAGTTCTAGTGCTGCATGATGAATTGTGCGCAGCTGGACAACGGGTGTGCAAGAGTGTCGCGATAGTAAGAATATCTCAGTTGTATGTCCGTATAACGAATCTTTCGATGCTTGCTACTGTCTTCTGTCTAGACGAGCACCCGCATTCAGATCGTACAGCTTGTAGATCACGTTAATTGAGGTCCTAAGGATCGCATGGCAAGGCATTGTAAGGCTGGCGATGAGATGATCGATAACGTGTTTTTGCAGGAATATGTTTCTTCACACGAATAACGAGGTACTCACTAATCACACTCAATTCTTCGGTACCAAATTAACCGTGAATGTGTTGCAGGAGAGTCTGGGCGTTCTAGCAAGCGAGACCAAGTTATTTTTACAAATGGAGATCGTAAAAGGTAATTGAGCGGATGTGTGATGAAGTTGCTAGGAGCTCGACGCACTCAAAAACCCAATCCTTTTCGTGAGCTGCGCGAGATGTTACCCTCAAAGGCAAAAGTTGTGAAAACGTAGAACAAGAATCGCCCTGCAGAGTGGTTCTTGAAAAGCGGCGTTTCGGCCGAGAGTGGACAAGCAGTAGAGGTATCGGTCGCACGCACTAGTCTGTAGAACAGGAGATATGGGAATGCCGAAAAAGTGGTGAGGTCGGGTAATGATAATCGACAACGCGAGCACGAAGTGGTGCAGTTGCTGTGGCCTTCGTACCAACTTGGACGGCTTAGTTTGTCACGAGTCTGACCAGCCAGTCCTCCTGATCTGTCGATTGGTGCATCGTACTGAAGGTCAGGACCATCGCCTCCTCTCGATTGCCACACTCTCGTTCAGCTTGTCTCCATTCGGGACAAAGTAATGCAGCGCCACTGAAGCTGATCCACACAGAAAAGCGGCCGTCAGAAGCGTACGCGGACTGCGCAGCTCCCCAGGCAGAATGACCATGCCTGCTGCACAGCCACCCACGAACGGATTGAGCAAATCGCTCTTGCCTCGTCCTTTTTCTAGTGCACAGCTCATGCCGCTAAAGATGCCCAAAAAGGTTGCAAAGCCCAGCATGTTGCGGACACTCGACCGAGCCAGTGACTTGGCCACTTCGCGCGCAAGGCTGGAGCCTGGACGAGCTGCGACTCGCTGCTTCCACTCGGCGTCCGTCACGTTTGCCAGCGCGTAGCCATCCACGCCGATCGTCCAGGCGAATCCGGCCCCAAGGCCTCGGAACAGGAGCAGCGCAGTGGTCGACACGCAGTCGGCAGACGACGTTCTCGAGGCCGCTGGTGGCGCAGACAGAGCGCTTTGACGGTCCGCGATGGAGAAGGCGTTCGCGACTGTCAGCAGTGGCACGAGACTGCCCACAGAGCCCATGCGCAGCGCGCGAGACGTCACGAAGGCGGCGCGTCGGTGCTTTGTCATGGCGGAGTGACTGGGGCGAGTGATGTACCATAAAAGGGGTACTGCCCGTGACCGTCGCGTTTTTTTTTATTGCAGCAGACGAACAGACGGACAGTCGAAGGTGAAGTGTGCGCGATTGACGCAGCGACGACGCAGGACACAGGGCACAGATGGCACAATTAGTTACACAAGGAGAAGGAGGAGAACGTGCGCTTTCTAACGATGTGCTGGTGGGTCGAAACGGATCCGTAGAAGCTGTCGAAGGGGCTGTTCAACGCTGCAAAGACGCCGTTGAGGGTTCGCTGGATGCCGAGACTCCGACAAAGCTCTTGGAGGCGCCTCTTTGTACGACCAGCACTAGTACTGCGAGTGGGGATAGTGATGATGAGTTTGCTGTGAGGTATTCCGCGGCTCAGCTAAAGGCCAAAGTAGCGCAGGCCAAGTACGAGGTCAAGCTGGCGATGGACGCCGAGCTGCTGGCCGTTCGGAAGGAGCTGGTCGAGCGGCGCTACGAAGTTTTGGAATGTGCGCGCGAGAGAGACAAAGTCACGGCTCAGTGTGAAGCCCTTCAGAAGAGACTGGATGCTGTGCTGCACGAAAACAAGCAGATGGCGAGTGGCACGCGCGAGGATCTCCAGCTGGAGAAGCTCTTGGCGACGCTGGACGTAGAGAAAGCTACGCGGCAAAAGCTGCAGCAAGACTTTGAGAAGCAGCGACGAGAGCTGCTGCTAGCCAAAGACCGAGTGGAGAAACTCGATCTGCAGATCGCCAACTATCAAAAGACGGAGACGGTGCTAGCTCAGTCCGTCGCGCACCTGCAACATCGCTTCACGATGAAAGACCAGCAGCGCGCAGTATCAGCGGAGCACGTACAGCGAGAGTTGATTGAGAAGTACGAGCAGGACATGGCAGCGCTTCGTGAGGAGCTGGCAACTGCTCGACGTACGGAGAAAATGGGCCGGGAACAAGTGCAAGAGCTCCAAAAGGAGCTTCACGTGGTGCGTGATAATGTGCGGCAAGCGTCAGTTTCTACCGATCACGTCGTCGCACGCGAACGTGAACTGCAGGACATGGTCGCACAGCTGGAGATGGAGAAAACGGAGCTCCAGTACAAGGCAGAGCAAGCACAGAAAGCAAATGCTCAGCTTCGCAGCCAGCTCAGTGCCCAGCGTGAGGAGCTCTCGTCGTTGCGGCATGAGAAAGAAGGGCTGCAGCGAGACAACAAAGAATTGGGTGAGATAGCCAGCGACCTGATGCAAATGGCCGAGAGGCAGTACGCTGAGAACGTGAAGCGCGGTACCGCCCCTGCAAGATCGACAGATAACTCCGTAGTTGACACAACTGGAAACATTCACGAAGAGGACGGCATCTTTCTGCGAAAGCGGAAAAAGCGCTTACGTTTGTCTCTCGGCTAAACTTGCTCATTGTTATGCTAGCAGAAGCAGCTAGAGGGAAAGAGTATGGGCATTGAACGACTAACTGACCGTATCCAAGCATCCGCGTTGCAAAAAGAGTGTCGCGATGATGAGGGCTGACAATTACAGAAGCGACGGCGTCTACTTTTTTCCTTTCTGCAACATCACACGCACGTGTGAGTGTCGATTCGGGGCACAAAGGTTAGGGCGGCAGTCTAATGCAAAGAACGCACCTTTCGTTTCTTCTTGGACTTTTTCGAGGAGGTGGTGACCTTCTTAGATTTAGGCTCTTTGGGCGTGTCGTGCACTTTGTCGCGATTGCCTCCTTTGCTGTCGGCCCCATCGGTTGCATGATCCTGAGCAACGCCATTCTGTTTGACTTTGTTCACGTCTTCTGTCTTAACAGCTACAGACGTGAACGCCGACGCCATCACGTCGTCATCCTCTGTCTCCACTGGCGTCTCTGACGACGTCTTGGAAGACACTGCGGCCTCTCTGGGCAGCGGCGTCGTCTTCGCCCCTGACTTATGCGGCTTCACGACTGGAGCGCCCGCCCCCATCGACGTCGGCGTTTCGCCCTGATGTCCCCGCAAGTCGCTGCTCCCCGCCGGCTTCTTGGGCGGCTGTGGCTTGGCAGCCACCTTCGCGTTCGCGTCAGCCGCTGCGACGACAGCCGACGGCGATTTGTGGCTGCCGTTGGCACTGCCTTCTTTCTTGACGGTGTCCACGTCGACCGACTTGTCCCTATACAGAGCACGTGGAACAAAAGACACAGCGACCGAACATAAGTCGATGGGTGTTTACTGTTTCACTGCGTCGTTCGAACGCACAAGCGCACGCACACTCTCTTGTTGCTGCTTCTGCCCTTAGGCAGCAGCGCTTCCCGACCGCCGTCCAGATGGTCGTCCTCTCTCGACAAGCAGCAGCCCATCGCGTCTCTCTTTTCGGCCCACTTGGCCCGTGCTTTCGTGGCGCGTTCGTCTCGCAAGTCGTTTTCGCTTTTGGGTCTCGCGCGATCGACTTCATGGCCTCACGCTCACTGGACCAAATTAAGAAGCGTCCGCCTCGGATTTTCTTTCTTTCGGGTATCTTTTTCGCCTGATTTCGGCTGAACTCAGACCGAAGCGGTTCGGTCGCAGCCAAACGAAAACTGCTGGAACATTGATTACCACGGGATCGATACACTTCATGGCACTTTACGGCCATACGCATATGAACTGTGCCGATCAAGGCGACTGACCAATACATTAAATCTTCTACGAGGGCTCTCGTAAATGCTTTGACAAGTTGTCCAGGCTAATAAGTTGCTGTCCACGGTTGTAGATCCGATTTATAGTTGCCCTGCACGTTGTGCCACGGTCGAGACAGCCCTCATCCAAGTCGTCGGCCTTTAGTCGATTGGAATGCTTTATTGTTCGTAGTGCCAACCCGATGCGTTGAACGGAGTGCTACGAGCGACAAGAGACTGAGAACCGTCTCACCGAAGCAGCAATTCGACTTTTGGTTTCCGTCTCCTAATACTTCATTTTTGCCCACGTGCACACAAGGCGACAGGCTGGATGTGAAGAGTCGGCTTACTGATATCTCTAAGCCTACTCACAATTTAACTTTACGCCGCCACCTTCCTCTCTTTATGCGACGGCACGCTAGGGGAAGAATGTCCGAATTCGAGCCTGACAGAGTTGTCACTTGAAGTCGAGATGGTAACCGAATGCGTATGCATGGATCGCGTAGAAATTGGATACGATGTGAACTGTCGGGAACAAAGAAAGACTTTACGATAGAGTATGCGTGAGAGAAGGGAGCAAAGCAGAGTGCGTGAAGAGCTTACAGGTAGTTTGAGTACGTGGTACTTTACGCAGAATTTAGCTTGGTAGTTTTCGTGTAAAGTGTAGGAAATAGTCAATGTTCGCCAGAGTTCGTTTTTACGAGGGTAGAAACTAGATAATGATCATCATTATCTGGGAGTACTTGGATGTTGCAGTCTGCTGCAGTCAGCAATTTCACTATGAGCCTTACACTGCCACTCATTGGACGTCACGGTAACCAACTTTCCCCACTACAGAATCCTCGTATCCGGTCGATTACGCTGCAATTGCTTATTCTTGGTGACATCCAAATGTGCTACCTGATCCAATGCATCACGTACCGTACGTAGCACAGGTAGCAACGATTCTTCCTACCCTCGATTGCGGCAGCGTTGTCAAGATAGATTGCAAAGGCCTGTGAGCAGTTCACAAGATAGCTAGTAGGCGTGAAGCTGGAGCAACAGGTAGCACCCGATGGCACAGCAGTGCGTATGATCGCTCCAAAGCTGACACGCGGAATCCAAATGAGCTGGCTCAACACTGTGGCGACCTGTCGTTAGATAAGTGCGTCCATGACAATCGTCTTCTTCTGACCAGGTAAGTCGTTTGGAATGATCCAAACTGACCGTTGGCAGAGATCGATCCTCCCTGTCCCATGCGGTTGGAAAACGCACACACAACCGTGGCTGGCCCGCATGGAAACAGAAAGTTTGAGTGCAGTTATAATCTCGCGAGTTTCGGTGATAATGTGCAGCCGAATGGCGTCGATGTGGGTACTGTTGCTGTCACTGCTGTCACGCCCAGTGCACGTGTTTGTAAACATGAGCTTGTGCAGGTGCCAATTGCATACTGTGCCGCACGATTTGCAAAGCGCGGACGCAGTTGTCGTCTTACGCCCACTCGTCGACGGTCCGTCGAGCCTTTTTCGGAGTAAGGAGCAGCCCTCCCAGATGCTTCATGTCACTGAGCATGACGCCGCTTCGATTGCTGTGAACTTGAAGGAAGTCAACTTGTTATGGGGGGACAAAGTTATAGTGCGCGACCCCGACAACGTCTCGTCAGTTACGATAACAGCAACAAACGCTAGTCTTCTGACTGAAATGATAGCGTCTGACAAGTCGCCGCAGTCGCTGCTGCTGCGAACGCATCCGCTTTTGGTGAAAGGAAATACTGCAGTGGTCGAGTACATCCCGAGTATTCCTACGCTTATGCTACCCATGGTTGAGAGTCAACGTCACAAACCCGTCGTAGTCCTGGACTCCTATGCCTACGTTATGTTCAATCGCGAGTCTAGCAATGCGATTGTAGACGTTGAGGCAGAAAGCACAGTCGGAGCCATTGACGAATCGAAAGAAGCCGTATGCTATCGCAAAACAGAGCCCAAAATGTATGCGAAAGCCAGGGCAGTGGCACGGTTAATGATTCGTAGTGTGCAAGGCCCACCTTCGGATGTTTCAGAGCAAGTGTCGAGCTGGATGTTTTGTACGGGTTGGCTTGTCGGACGGGGCAATTACTTGCTCACTAATCACCACTGTATGAAAGACGCGGCGGTGATCGATCGCGTTCGTGATCCTGTCCAGTCGCGCGAGAAAAGAGCGACCACCAGCAATGAGTTCCTGTCAAACACTGCTAAACAACTAAGGCGCTATGCAGCTTCGATAGACAAGACTAAGCGTGTCGTGGAGACGGTTGTGGGATTTATGGCCGAAACTAAAGGCTGTCGTGATGCAGGGTTCAAGGGAGAAAAAGTCGGTGTTGTAGAAGCCACGCGGGTTATGGTGGTCGCCGAAAACCCAGAGCTGGACTACGCGTTGGTGCGTGTTCTCACGAACAACTCGTCGACGGACTTGTCGCAGTGCTACGGATACTTACGCCTGCGTGCTACGGGCCCGGTGGACGGTGAAGACATTTACATCCCACAACACCCACGTGGAGAGCCGAAGGAGATTGCGGCAGTGAAAGATGGACAGCCCGCAGTGATCGAGGTGGCGCCTGCAAATGCAGTGGACTACTCTGCGATGTTTCGCCAGAGCGGCGAATTGGATGAGGCCCAGCCGACTGTTTGGTATAATGCTGACACGAAACCCGGTTCGTCAGGATCGCCGGTGTTGAGTCGCGAGGATAACACCGTCGTGGCACTGCATCGCGCCGGAGGCACCGATGCTGCACATGCACCATTCACAGATCTTCTTAACGCAGGTGTACGCATCGACTTGATTGCACGTGACCTCAAGCGACGCCGCGTTTTGCCGAAAAATGCTTTGGCTTCTTGATGTTCGATTGATACGCAATCGATATAGCTCGGTGTCAAGCTATTGTTTGAGCCCGTAGCGGACCTCTAAGTATGCATCGATTGAACTATATGACAGTTTGATCACGACACGTTGAAAAAAGATGGGACCGAGGATGGCCGTCGCTGACATTCCTTGTACTTTGCATTATAGCACACGTTTTCGACCCTCTTACTGCTCACACATCTCGTCGACGGCCGACGACGAATGCAAGAGTAGGTGTGCTTGTTTCTTACTTTTGGTGTACAAGAAGCTGCTAGGTGTGCGCTTTTCGTTGCTCAAGGCCGTTTCAAGGTGGGATGCACTCGAGTTGGTGCCAGGGTTTACACTTCGTCTTTACATAAAGTATTCCCTGGAGCACCTCTTCGTTACATCTTGCGACGGTTCCTGTAGACAACTTTGTAAGCTGCGCATCGGTCGTGGCATTCATATGATGCTTCGACGATACTGACAGCTCTGACGAGCTGAAGAGGTCGTGGCATTTGTATATCGGGTCGACGATATTGACAGCTACCACAAGACGCATTCTCGATAAATTGATGATCAAGAGACCTAATGTGTTGATAGGCGACCAAGGGGCGTAGTACTCATGACATATCCTCTGATCTAAGCGAATCGATGTCTCGACAACATGATAGAGGATGCGATCAAGTACGCTCAAGGTTCTCGCCGATACTGCTGATCAGCGAGGTGGCAAATCCCATGTCACAGATATCGAGTTCATACCACGTGGAAAGTGCGAAACAAAAGCGAAAGCCGCTCTTGATGCGTACGAAGCTGATGCACAAACACGTGCATCGATCCATGTTGCAGTAAAGATATACAGCGCTCATTTAATAGACGGGAAAAGGAACGAAGCTTGCCGTGAGATGCAGCACGTACCTTGCGCCTCCATGCAGCATACAAAGCATGCAAAGCATTCCAATTCAGTATTCAGGTTTGTTGCAGCATTGCAGGAAACGCAAAATTCTATCGTCAATGATTGTGCGTCGTGTCAGTGAAAATGTGGCATCTTTTCGATCGTATTTTATCAATGAAAAAGCTTCAAATACCATATCCCTCCGATTGCCTATATGTTGCATCCATTTCTAACGTGCTGACCACCATCGCAGCCAAATTTAGAAACTTCGCCGTCATAACTCCATCCCACGGCGACCACGACTAAGTACACCATTTGTCGCGCTAATCACGACACAATTTCAGCCAATCAGCAGACTCCTAGTAATCACACGGTCAATCAACATGGCAACCGCTCCTGCCGCGTCGTCTAGCGCCCGAGCCCGCGTTTCATCGCCCACAGCGTCCTGTCCATGCGCACGAGCACCAGCAAACGCGCCTCTACCTGCTGCTACTACTGCTACTGCTGCTTTTGGTGTAACAAGCAGCTCATTGCTACGGCAAGAGAGCAAGCCGGGGAACACGGAAGATGACGAGACCAAGACCGGTCGACGTCGTCCTCAGCAGCAGCGCTGTAATTACTCCGTCAAGAAGAAACGCGAGCTCATTGCTTTGGCACAAGTCGCAGGCGTGCGAGAAGTGTGTCGCATGGAGGGCATTCCCCGTCGCACGCTCCGCCATTGGCTTGACGACGCCGAGAAGATCTACAGCTTTGAAGGACCCGAGTCGAGGAAGTCCATTGGACGCTCGGGCCGTCGTGAGCTGCTGCCATTTGGACGGGAACTTTCGGCATTTCTTATGGATGGACGGCACGATGGACGCGAGCTGACGTCATCGCACATGATTGGCTACATTCGGGAGCACCATCAACCGTGGCTCGACAAGTACTTGGCCGACAAAAAGAGCCCCGAGAGTGGCCAAGCGGCGCTCACGAGGCTTTGTCAGCGGTTTGTCGAGCGTCATGGATTCACACAGACTAGCACTACCATACGAGGTCGAGATGCGGGGGTAGAGACAGAGACGGCGAACTTAGGTGTTGAATTTCGGGTTAAGACGGAGACAGAGGTTGATGAAGATTGCAAAGACACAGAATCAGTCGCGCCGAAAGTCGCGTGTGATGAGACTGGTGAGGGAGGAAGTGATGATGATGTGGACGACAGCCCGTTGCTGTGTGGACTTGATATCGGCACGACCGCCGTCAAGTGTGTGCTAGTTAAGATTGCTGATGGCGGTCAAGCTGTTGGTGTTGTTGCTCTTTCCAACGTATTGCTTAGCGATGTGGTGCATGAATCGACGAAAGTAGACAAAGAAGCTCGAGCAGAACAGCCTGGTGTGCAGAAAGTGGATCAAGTGCTGCTTGCAGTGCAGCGTGCGGTGATGCTACTGCCAGCGATGGCGAGACGGCGAGTCGCGTCGGTTGGCATATGTGGTCAAATGCACGGAATCGTATGGTGGTGTAGTCGATCTGTACATGAAGCAGCAAAGCGCGTGTTGGCAAATGATGACAACAAGCCCCAGCACGAGGGTAACGCTTCTTACGATTGTGCCTGGAGCGAGCTTATTACGTGGCAGGATCAGCGCTGCACGCCTTCGTTCTTGGACAGCTGTCGAGATAAGATTGCTCAAACTACTACTGCCGGCGGTGCTTCCGCGTCCAGTCCGATCGCTGCTGGCTACGGATTGGCCACATTCGCACACACGCTTGAGCACTCTCCACGTACTTTGGTTGGCATGGACGCGTGCGGCACAATTCACGATTTTGTGGCTTTTGTACTTTGTGGCCACACGCTTCCAAGCGAAGTCTGTATGGACACCACTGATGCTTACAGCTGGGGTGGCTTTGACTTGCACACCCATATCTGGGACTCCAGAGTGCTGCGCGCGTTACAAGTTCCGTCATCGATGCTACCTGCTGTGAAGAAGCCGGGCACTTGCGTTGGTCGTACCTCTTTAGGACTCAGCAGCTTCGGGTTGCCCGATAACAAGCCTGTGTTTGTGCCAATGGGTGACCACCCGTGCTCTGTGCTGGCCGCTTTGGCACACCGCCAGTCCGCTTTGTGCGGCAAAGTGAACCTAACGTGTACGTTGCGTGTGACGGTTGGGTAGCTTGTTAGCTAGCCGCGCAATTGACACTAAACTTATGTGTGCACCTGCTTGCTCTTCGTCGTATAGTGGTAAATATCGGCACATCGGCTCAAGTGGCTATAGTGCTGACGGGTGCAGATATTGCGAAGATGTCGTTGTGCTCCGATGATAAGTCGACTTCCACCGGTGGTCGCAAGAGCTCAAGTTTTGAAGTGCGGCCATTTCTACTTGAGGATCGCTACGTGGGCGTGGCAGCCTCGCTTTCCGGGTACGTTGTTATAGTTACAAGCACTCATTACTGATTCCAGCTGGTCTCGCTAAGTGCGTGAAGCTGCGTGTACAGCGGCAACACATTTGCATGGCTGGTGCGGCAATGGCAGCAGTGGGCGAGAGAGATGGGTCTTGCCTCAGTATGCAGTGACAACACTGTAGCGCAAGCGTCCCAGTCTGACGCCGAGATCTATGCCCGACTGATTGAGCTGGGATTTCAGCGAAAAGACACTGAGTTGACATTCGTGCCGACGCTAAACGGCGAGCGCGCGAACCCTATGGCCACTGGCAGCATCTTGAATCTTCAGATGAACAACTGGAGCATGGGCGACATTAGCGCCGCGTTGGCTCGCGGGCTGGTGGACAACCTCTTTGCCATGATTCCCAAGGAGCTCCAGTCTCTCGTGTCCGCGCAGCCGTACGTTCTGTCGTGGAATTTTTGGTACCAACTTCTCACGGGCTGACTATCTAGTGTTCTGTAACAGGATGCTTGGTACGGGCAACGCACTTGTGCGCAACGAACTGCTGCAGCACTTCCTCCAGCGGCACTTGGCGGAGCCGTCGCATCTACAGCTGCAGACAGCCACCGATGCTGCGGTGGGCGCGGCGCTGGCCCCGGTGCTCGTATCAGAGTCATCAGTCATGCTTGACGCGTTGCGCGACCTGGAAATGAATCGTGTCGAGGTGGTCTTCACACAAAGTACTACGCCTCATCGAGGTGATCCGACGAACAGCTGAGCCCATTGTATGCGCTGCATGTCGGTCATATTGGCGACCGCTTCAGGCTGCTTAAGCTGGCACCGAGCAGCAGGGTACGGATGAGACCCGATGCGGCTGGTCGGTTCGTCAGGATGGGCTCGCTCGAACGCAGGTGTTCTTGGTTGGACGCTGGACCAGCTCGATCGGGGAAGAAACGGGGCTGCGCCCCGGCGTGTGCCACGCTCTGCTACTCTTTAGCTTCTTGCGTCGGGTTTACATGCTATTGGATGCGTGGGCAACGTCTACGAATGTTGTCGATATCCGTTGCAGTGATTGGAATCGATAAGGCCATGGGGGACGGGGCGACCCGGTGACGCATGGACTTCACGAAGGAATTCCAGGGAATTTGCACTGCGCAACAATCGATACCATTTACATTGCGGTCAATGAAGGGTTCTTCTAAAGTGGCTTGATACAATTTATTGCTGTCGCTAATATTGTCAAGGGCGGACATGGCACAGAAACAGATGGTTGCAACGTCTGCACACACGAACGTGGATGCTGTACGGAAGTTATCGAGTAGCACGAAAAGGTAAAAGACTGATTGTGCCATGTCGTACGAAGGTGTGTGTGCACGCTTATGACGTCAATATATGTATTATTATCTTTGCAGACAGTATTGAGCAGTATTACCATGAGCAGGTGAACATTCTGCAATTGTGCCTCTGAAGTAACTATAATGAGAATACAACTGCTGAAAGGTAATGCTGAGAGAATATTACTCTTTTAGCTGATGTTAGGATAATATTTTTTGCCAAAAGTAATGACAAAGAGCATACTACTTTTTCCATTCGTTTCAGCAGGCACATGGGCAGGCGTTACCAACACACTGCCCATCGCTGTATGGGTCATAAATATAGCCGACTCACCACCACTCAGTACTGGAGCGCGAAAAGACCGGGCACAAAGTCGGCATTCTAATGTTTAAGATGCTTACGTGTGCTTTAAAAGAACAATAGTTGGACTTGGCCATTTTGATATACTTCCTTTTCCTCTTCATCTTAGCTCTTATGATTTGCTTTATTGGCATTCCTCTGCATGTTGATGCTACTGGACGTATTCAGTGCACGAGCGCAGAAAGTAGTAGTGAAAAGGCAAAATGTCGATATGATTAGCATCAATTCCGTAAGTCTAACTAAAATGTACGCGCAAGAAAATGGAAAGAGAGTACAAACGTGACTGATACCTGTTTCGTTCACTTGACCGATCTTCCCGCAATCCTTGCTTTGTGATCCGATCCAAATACCGTTGACAATCCCAGCCAATCAGTTGCTGGCACACTCGATTTGATTAACAGGTCACGCAGTTGAAATTGTGCGCTCGACTAACCTGTGGACTCTGCTGGTCTCTCATTCGCTACCGTGAACGAGAGGTTTCGGAGCGCCCGTCTACTATATTCAGCGCGGTTTGATTACTCTCTCATCCGTATGTACGTGTGATGCCCGTCACCAAATTGCCACTGTTTTAGCTGAACGGTCGATAATTTCGGCTCATAACTCATGCGCACAATGAAAAACGAAGGACATCTAGTGGCTGAAGGGACCTTGTCAGCTGGTTACTAACAAGACGGTGCAGCCTTTTGTGAACGAGAGTATCATCGACGCCATTGCAGCGCTTATGGAAAAGCTTCAATGACGTCAAGTGCACTTATTGACGACAAACGGTCCAGAATCGAAGAATCTGTCAAAGCCTCACTTACATGTGTACATCGCCATTATCAATAGAAGAGCGATGTACGGCGTCTTATCGAAAAGTACAAGTATATCAAGTAGCGGCGGTATGTCGCTCACCACTAAGCACCTCGCTGTTCGGCCTCATGTCAGCCACGCTACATGTGAATGACGGTGACGGCAACCGTAAAACAGTCTGTTTTGCTCGTAATGACTGATTGTAAGCAATTCATACTGGTAGCAACGTAGACACTCACACCAAAAAGATACGTGCATTCTCTGTTGAGAGGAATGCAGACAACAAACGTACGGCATTTATCTTAGAAGAGACTGTAATCAGTGATCAAAGCCTTTACACAAATTCCCGTTCGAAGCCCACCTTTCATAACGCGGTACGTCGCGTCTACACTGAATGTAGCGTAAACCCAGTGTGCCCGACACCTCACGGACGTTATATGTAGGAGGAACGCAATACATAGGCTTGTTGGCTTGAAGTGAAAAAGCGGTCTGCTTTCCAATAAGGCAAACCTCATCAATATATACATCATGCTCAAAATTCGATGTAAACGGTGATCAAATACATACATCCCATTTGGGTATCTGCTGACCGCTCGTTTACAGTGAGCGAACTAAGCTTTTTCTGCATTATGGATCATCTGGAACGCAAGCAGAATCATGATGAGTGGCAGCGAGCAGGAGTACGGATAACGCCGACCCAGCATTGAGCTCGCAGCAACATTTACACCTTATCAAGTCCGTTCGGGTATTTAATTTGCAGCCGGAACATTCAACCTGTGTTATTTTAGAGGGAGAAATTAGAAGGGCTGTTGTTGCGAATAGAGTCAGTGTGCGACAACTGCAGAGACACGGTAGTGCATGTTCTGAAACTTATCTTGCGCTCGAGACCTTTGCTACTGCATGGTAAGCCACTGGACTAAAGAATGGCCAACGCGTTAGCAAATGGTACACTCTATGACAGTGTGTACTAGTATATGAGGTCAGTGTTTACAATAGTAAAGAACAGAAATCACCGCGAACGGGTTCCAAGATAATGTACCAGGGCGAGCTAGATGGGGCGGTTTTCACACTTCATCACAGCGGCATGCCTTAATCGACTTCTAATGGATAAGAATGCAGTGATATTTCGCAGGTCGGCTCCACACGACCACTGTAGCAAAAGGCAAGTGGGGACGATACGCATACGACAGATGTGTGAGATGAGACCATCAGAAACCAATATCGTAAATAATTGAAGAATACGCAGTGCTTGCATAAAACTGTTCGCTTAAAAACCTGTGAGCCTCCTCGAAATAGTAGACCGACTACGAGTCAGTCAACAGGTATAACTCGGTGCTTATATCCTAGCTAAGGGCTTTCCAAAGATTTTGCACATCGTAACGACATGTGCCTAGACCATTTGAAGTGCTCTTTATTTAATTTATCGATCACGCGTACATTATTGGGTGATGTACGGGTGGGGGTGATATCGCGGCGTCATCAACCCATGTGCAATGTATGTGGGTACCGACAGCCCAGGTGCCAGCTAAACGTTATCTATAATCGCAAGCGGGCAAGTTATATTCCTGGTTTCAGGCGAACAAATCTAAACGTTTCAACAATTTAAGTATAAAATTCAAAAGAGAAGCACGCCGAAGATGCAATGCTACGACCACGTGTACGGACATTGTCTCCCGGTTAAGCCATCCACATCAACCGGCAAGTTCACATTGGGGGTATCAGCGAATGACCTTCTGGTGCAGCACATTTGACAACCAGATGGTCATTTGTAAACGACCAATTGTAGGTCACATCCGACAGCCCACTCCGTATCTGACCAGCCCATTGGCTAGTATTCGCAGTAATAGATCCTACAATGTCTATCGATAGCACAAACCTGTACATGTGGTGACGATACTGCATTATTTTTGCAAAAAAGAGCCATCTATCGGGACCAGTTCTCGCTTATGTCTATCTTGCATCTATTTATTTGCTTGTCTTTTGCTTCAATGACGTTCTTCATCATAAAATACGATAATAAATCGTTCACAGGTCAAAAAAAGTCACTACTTTGCCTTCCAACTGTACAATAGATACAACCTATCTCCATATTCGGGCATTCATGCTGTAACGGGGTGAGACTATTACGTGCCTTTGGCACAAATTGTGCGAATGTGCGTGTAACCTTTTTTCATCATATCTCACAAAAGTTCATTTGCAATTTAATATTGTTGAAATAGTACCTTTAGAGGTAATATTTGGCACTGCTTCACAATTTAATGGTAAAGGTTACGATATCGACCGATGAAATGACCAATATATGCTGTAGTCGTGCAATGGGTGGTGAGTGAGATCATGCATTGAAAGTTTGTAATTTGTTACAGTGCAAGTAAGAAAGATGAAGAGGATGTATTGACGAGGCTTGACAATGTAATATATACTATTTTACTTTTCTTTCCTTCGAAGCAACCTTTATTCGGGCTCTTTGATTCCTCTGCACGTACGGTGTATGTGTAGTTTTAAGATCTCACACCCTTGTACTATTACGGTAAAGGGCGTACCATTGTAAGAGTAGTTCAGGGATCTCACACCCTCGTACTGTTATGGTACAAGGGCTTACTAGTTATATGATAAGAAATATGCTTCATTACACATAGTGCTCTATGACCCATTACCTCGAAAAGCCACAATTTATATTGCCTCTGGGACAAAACGAATACATTCTGTTACCTGACATTGACTTTTGTGACAGTCATTGCGAATGATATCTTCGCGTCTGATACTCTTGTATTCGAAATTTTGACACGTAGTATACAATTCGGCTAGTTGCTTATAATAAGCCGGATTATCTACCAACAAATACTACATAAATAATGGAAGCTAGAGATGGGGAAGGACTAGGTATCATTAAGTCTTACTTGTTCTCGATGATGTTTAAACAATGTCAGACAAATGCATCGTTACAGCTTAGCTGTGCAAACACATTTCCTCCTAGCTACGTGGCACGCATTATTATATGGATATATACATATATCCCTGCACGAAACCAAAAGCTTTGAAATAGCATATCACACCATCTCCATGCTAATTAGATACTCCAGGTAATACGGAATCGATGTCGGCGTAACAACATTAAAAGTGGAAACCATAGAACGGGCATCGGTGCCGGTGAAGATTCTATTTGGAAAGTAAAATGATATTTTATATACATATTAACATGATCAAGATCTCCACAGGGTCCTGAGCTTGGTTCAAGTGCCGGTAAAAGTAACTCGTCGTGGCTAATTCTAATGCGGTACAGTGCTGTTTAGG